ATGACTGCGCGCAAATAAGCATGCCCAGAAAACAGTTAAAGGGGAGAAAAATACCTATATGAAATCTAATGGGCAAATTAGGAAATTGTAGTTACACGAATTCAGTTGCTACTTAGTGTTTATAGGGAAGCACAGAGAACATCAAAATGCCTGATCACATCCCATCTGTTACAACCTCTTGCTGGATAACATCTTGCCTGACAAAAAAGCTATTTAAATTTACTACATTGCAGCTACTGATAAATATCACTTCTGTGAAGATCTAATACTAAATAGGGACTAGATCTGAGGATAAAGCTTACAAGCAGTTGCGTCAAAAAGATCCAAATTTTGCTTCATAAAACACCTGTACTCCTACAAGCAAGCCTGCAGTTTCTTACTCCCTGTCCCTGCCTGTGATACGTTTTTAATAAAGCATACAACTGTACAACAATCCTCAAAAGCTGTATCACGTCAACAACAGAAAGAAATAAAGCTAGAATGGAAAGAATGACACAAATAAAGAAAAAAGAAAAGGTACTAGGAGGAGGTGACGGAGAAGAGGAAGGCTACTATTCAACAATTTTGGAGGTGCTTACTCCAGGCACTTTCCACACAGATCTGACAGGCACAGAATGGTGCCATGAAACTGCCTCCAGCAATGGAATACATTTTCCAGCACATCACAGCAGCTGCAACGGCATCAATTCTGCTTGCAATCCATGTCCAAACAGAAAAGTTCTCAGTGGTCCTATTTCAGCATATCTCAAGGACTAATTAAATCCTCATTACTATCTTCTAATTATTCCAGTGCTCTGGGATTTCACTGAGCAAGTCCCCAATGGTGCATTAGATGAAAAGGGTTAAATAACCTGTGTTGATTTTGAGACTCCAGCTCTATTTCAGACCTTTAGCATATCATCAGCATTATCATGAATATTTAACTACATACCGCTGTGAAAATTATAAGGAGAAAACAATTAAAGATTTTTTAAAAATTAATTCTGACCCATATACATTTGCACTAATAAATAAGGCTTCTTTAAGTATCCCCATTATGAGAGTGCTTGCTAGAGTAATAACGTGAGTCATTAACTGTTTCCATTAAACTCAATGGTTTTCAGGAGCTCCCAATTCACTATTTTAATCTAAGACTGAAACCTGACATGTACATATCCAACTGGATAAGCATGAAAAATATTACTTAAAAGTAGGTAAGTTCTCTAAGCTTTTTCAAAATCAGGTAAGGAACCATTCATTTCTGCAGGAGTAAAAGTGCTTATTTCATCATTATTGTGACACATATTCTACTATTGGTATTTTCGTAGGTGAGTATTCATATATGCAGATGGACATCTCCGTTAGGTTACAAAAGTAAGAGTGGGAGTACAAGCTAGTGGCCAGGTTGGACGGCTTCTTTTTCACACTGCAGCTTCAGGAAACTGATACAGGGAGTCAATTTGCATATGCTGGATTTCAATTTGATCCACACAAATAACTTCTAACCCACTGAGCAGTTTTGGCTACTAAGCACATCCTCAAAGTGTGGCTTGCAAGACCCAAACAGATGAGATAAGTAGATATGGCTGAATACAGGGAACTCAAGTGATTGTGTACCTCAATTACTTGCCAAATGGTTATGACAGCTGTGGTATCACTGCTGTCCTACCTCTGGGGGCTGATGTAACTAAAGTTTTTAAAAAGCTTTGACTTCAATAAACACAAAAAATCAAACCCCTACTTTTGATCATAGTAAAGAAAAGTCTGGAGTAGCCACATCAGAAACAAAGAGCAAAACATGCATCCTTTCCCCCGAAAAGCATAGCAGGTTTCATTGACTAGCTTAATTAGTCGTGAGTACATTTTCATGTGGTATCCCCAAGTAACAGTAACTGCTGGGATTCAGCAGCAGTTAAATGCACGTGTAGGTGAGCGGATATGGCTACTCCTGCTTCCCCAAGAGACTTCTGACCTGCACAGGCTGCTTCCTCTGTCTCCAGAGCAATCTGCTCCGAGAGTTCATTAAGGTATATGGGACTTACTTCAAGTCCCAGAACTTTCGAAGACATGGGAGCTGAGGCATAGGTTATGCACATAGAAGTACATGCAATTTCTTATTGCCCAGGTAGACAATGTGTGTTGGTAGAACAGAAAAAGTTTCACTGATTGGGCATCAAACAACAGTGGCCAGTTATTGATTCTGGGAGAAGAACAGAAGTGGGCTGCCTAGAATAGCCCACTCAATTTACACTGACCCAGGTCCAAATGTCCTACATCCTGAGCAGGACATGAAAAATTTTCAAATTATTTTTAAAAAAGTAAGCGTTTTTATGCTTATTACAAAAAGTACGAAATAAGCTATATAAAAAGCAAGCTGAAGAGCACAAAAAATCCAGTCCCCCAAGAAACTCCCATTACTGTACATACGCATATACGTTCCAACTCTCCCCCTTCCACACACAGAATGTACATGTAAAAATATGCTCATTGTTTTATGCTGCACTGTATGACAGGGGATATATAGTCTTAGGCAGGCAAACATAAAAATCCCAGCTGGGTGCTGAGTGACCATGGAAAGTAGGGTAAAATATAATCAAACACTTTCATAATAAAATAAGTAGGTGTAAACTTAATGGTTCAAGACAGTGGTCTAGCATCCAGAAGTGCTACAGCTCAGACTCCACCTATCAATCAAGTTTCACAATATCTGCTAAATAACATTTTTTTCAAGTATTGAGAGCAGAGGATTCTGCTCAAGAAACGATTAGTAGTCTTTTGTTCATTCAATTCTCTCTCTAAACAAGGAAAGAAATGTTATACAAAGTGCTAAAACAAACATTACCTTATTCTATGGAGGGTCTCTGGGTTTTTTGTTTTCATTTTCTTTTTTTTCTTTTCTTTTTTTTTTGGAGAAAGTGTATCAGTAAGCCAAGAGTTTAAATTACTGTAACAGATGCCTATGGATCAGGTGTCCTTAGCAGCAACGATTTTCTGCTCAGGTTTTTATCAGTAAATGACAAGCACCTTCCCTTTGAGTCCGCATCACTCCCCCCCCTTCCTTTCTTCAAGTTCAGTGGAAAGCAGTTCAAGCAAGCAAAGGAATCAACTAATGTAACAGCCTTTTTAAAAGGTGAAGTTTTCCATTTCAAAGGAGCCTCTAATCAATGACAGGGCGCAAAAGGGAATGCACGCATGTTTATGCGCCTATAGCACAGACTTTAGAGAAGCTTTGGGGAACATGTTCTGCAAAATCAATATGACCTAGCTAGTTACAAATTTCGTATCTGCTGCATGAAACGAATGGACTTCTTGTACAAGCTGGGTCACAAGGATCATGCATATTGCATCAGATTTTGCATATGAAGAGTGCAAAAACTGCAACATTCCCAAACACATTTTCTCTAAGAACATACCCACAATTCTCACTCCTCTGCAATGAGGAAGAACCTGGCTAAATCAACCCATAAATTTCATTTCTCTCACTGTTATTTACTTGTTTGACCTCCCAGCTATGGCAGCTGTCTTCTCTGTTTTACTTTTGAATACCCCTCTGCCTCCCCCGACCATATAATGACCCTCCTTTTTGTTCTACAGCAATGGAGAGGTTCAATCTTTCCAGCTCGGTCAGACCTGCCTAACTCGTCCCACAAAGCCAGGTGAGGAACACACGCTGCAGAAATAATTATTACTGGGCAGTGTTAACATTTTGTGCCAAGACCTAGTCGTGCCAGAAACTGCACACATCTTTCTGATATGCTTGGGTCTTCGACGCCTCAATCTGATCCACACTGCCTTGTGACATTCTATCCCACAAAACAACATGTATTTGTATCGGGTACAGATGCCATTCTTTTTTCACCAAACATGTACATTATTCTAAAAATTTCTGAATGCAAAAATAAGTCCCTGCACTCACAACTGTATAAAGAATGACTGAAAAGGAAACAAAATAAACGAGTTGAGTGTGGAATTCCGTGTTTCATGTTCTCATTAATCAGCATTCCTGGAGGAGGGGACATCCAACACAGAAAAAATAGCAAAAATAAAGACTCTCTCCTCTTTGTGAGTCCTCTTAGTTCCTCCTGGATGCTATCCCAGAAATTTGTCGTTCTGTGAGTTCAACTTGTTTCACTGTGAGAAAACTTCTAGCATTTATGGTATCCCCATATGGTGCTACTTGGAATATTTCTGGTAGCAAGACATTTTAGGAGGGGCATTTCATAAATAACTCCCCGTTTATCACAGTTATCATGTGTCAGTTTTGCAAGCTTGTCGCTGGCACATGTTAACCACTGCATGGACAGGATGCCCAGTTTACAGCCGTTGATTGTATGTACAGCCACGCAACAAAGCTGTGACAACTATCTTCCATGAGCTAAGGAGGAAGGAGGCGAAAGGAAAAGGGCTTAAAGTTTATAAATGGTAACATTAAGGATAAAAAACGCTCTGTTTATTTTTGTGAACACTTGCTAGGAAGCACCCTTTTAGAACAGTGCTGTTGCCTGTAAGGCTTTCCCCTTGCAAGATTTCCAAACCTTTGAACCGTTTCATCTAAATAGTTGTTTCCCCTTTATATTTAAAGATCTTTTTATTTCCAGAACTGGCCAGAGGACTAGCTATTGTGTCCAGGCAAAGACATCAGAGATGAGAATTTTAAGAACGGTAGCGAAACTGCAGTGCTTGTAGCTAGCACTATTTCTATACATCTTAATTCCAAGATAGACAACGAAAAGTTGAATTCTCTAGGATATGAATCAAGCATTTACAGCAAAGCGTCTTTATACTCTGAGCATTCACTGTATTTTGAGAAAGCCTTGTTTCCAATTATATTTTGGTAAAACCTGCTATTCAGTTGCTCTTTCCTCAGAGAAGGAAACCCCCTGAGCCTTTTACAATGAGGACTGTCATTATTTTCCCTGAGAAAAGAAAAGAAATACCAGGAAATCTCACATTGCTAATGTGCAACTTAAAATGAAGGCTGTATTTGGCACCAACTAAAAAAGCCCCAACACCTAACAAACCTCGGTCCTGTGGCATTGGTGACTGGCTCAAGGCAGGGTGGGAGCTGGATTCTGACTGGCTGCCAGGAGGCTGCGGTGGCATCTGACTGCCTGTAACACACAGAGAAAAAAGGGAAAACAGACTTGCTTTTAACATTGCAATGCACAAAACCAAGCCTTGCTGCATTTTTCGACCACTCAACATCAAAGAAACTACCAGCTGTATAAGGTAAAGACAGAGCTCAACAGGTCTAGCTTTTTTTCATTTTTTTTTATTCTTTTTCCTTTTTTTTGTTTTTTGAAACCCACAGAGGAAACATGCATAAACATATTTAGCAACAGGCATGGCGAAATGTTCAATTTCGTATTGAGTGAGTTCCCAACCTCACCGACATGATCCAATTTATAGCTGCAAATCTCCTGACACATATTTCTGTTAGAGAGTTTAACAAAATCCAAGTCTGCTGAACAATAGGGCTCATCCTGCCGAGCTTAAACTGGCCTCCAGCCAGGCAGACATGGACTGCTGCCAACTATATTACCAATGAAAAATTCAGTCAATACAAAAATGACTAACAACAACAGTTTAGAAAGTATTTCAATGAATCAGTGGTTTTAATATTATTTGAATGTCCACATAGAATATGGGAATAAAGAATAATATGTAGGTGCACGTGGTGAAACTGAACCGTGTTTGAAAGAGATCAGACAGAAGGGTGTATCTTATTATTCAAATAAAGGCAAAAGGAAGATATTTGCTTATTAAAATATCCATCCAGAACAGACAGACCCATTTTTATAGCCTTGTTCAGAAGACACCCACGCAGTTTATCCACTGCTGTCTACCCACCACAGAGAAGAACAGCACTCACAGTGCCGTCTGTGAGGCTCAGGACACAAAATCTTCCCTTTCATATTACTGATAGTAAAGCAGGTGTTTATTGCACAGATGCAAGTCACTCCTCTGGGTCACCACTCCACACTGTGTCAAGCGGGGAGGTCCACACTACCACCCTCCCACTGCCACACCACCCCAATGGCCTTGTGCCCAACAGCAACCTGCCAGAGCCTGAGCAGGAATAAGAACAAGACTTGGATGTACGTCCCCTGGGACTCCTCTCTGCTGCTGGTCTGAGACACGGCTGCTCTTGACAGCCCAAGCGACTTGAAGACCACCTCAGGTCAGGAAGCAAATACATACTTTAAGCATTTAGACACTGTAGTGATGAGTGCGGCATAAATGGCAGCAGACAGATTTGTACCCCTCATTCTCAGAAATTGCTCAGATTGTTCTCCATTTGAAAGAAATGGAAAGAATAAAAACACAGGCAATAGATTTGTGCCTGCTGAGACTCATTTCCTCCTGCTCAGGAGCTGCCCCTCCGCAGTGGCAGGAGCGAGAATCCTGCAGCCAGTCCTGGCACTGGGAGCCTGGGCTGATGGGGGGCTAGCAGAGGCTGCTCGCTCTTTAGAGCAACGAAGGGCCCCAAGTCGGACGTAAACACTGGAAAACAAACAGGTCCGCTCTGCCCCGACCACTTCCCACCCTTCAAAGCAACTGGCTCTCAGCACCTACTCTAAAGAAAGGCCAGATTGATAAAGAACAAAAAGAAAATCCATAAAACGTCGAGTGTAACCACTGCCTAGCTATTCAGATGAGGTGCATTTGCACTAAAAAACATGACAGTCAACATTACTGGGAGCAGCTGTGACAACTGTCTCAGAGATGCAAATGCTGGACTGGAGGCAGAATTGCTCCTCCAAAAGACCAAACATGCCACTCAGTGCCGGAGGCTTTGGGATCCACGGCCCATTCACGAACTCTAAAGGCATATGACAATAATATTCTGGCTTATGTTTTGATGTCACTCAAGAGCGGGCGGCAGAGACGGTGAGTGTCTGCATTATAATGAACGCTTTCTGCTTGACAGCAAGGATTCAGTGACTCAAAATTGTAAACAAACAGCAATTCCATGTTAACACAGGGCACTGCCACTTCCACTGTGTATGCCTGAGGCACCGCTATCAGAATACTTCAAGTAGATCTGAACCATCTAAGATTTTTATAAATACTTGAAAAAAAAAAAGAAAGGCAGGGGTAGTCCTGACTGCACCACACAGCTCCCAGTGGGATCCCCCTTTAGGTGGAGGCTTGGCAAACTTTGAGAGACATTAATAGCGCGTGGAAGATTTATGCTAGGCAACATAATTTTGAACACATTTATACAAGGTCTTTAATTTTTTACATCGATAATAACTTCAGTTATCTGGCAGGAGCCTCATCCTGCACAGGCAGATGTTCAAGCACCGACCGGGAGTCAAAGCCTAGAACAGTGTGTGTACGACATGTACAGAGAAATCATTTTCATCTGCATCCTTAGGGAATACAGACTCGGGAGTTTTTCAAATTCACTATTAGCCTCTGCAAACATTAACGGTATTTTACTACCTCACTTTTTAAAGTTTACTTCTGGTCTTTTTCTCTATTGAAAAAAAACTTAAAAGCAGAATTTTTGTTTCACAAGGAAAACAATTTTGTAAACAAGACCAATGCTACACATATTCAAACAAGTAACGAACTTGCAAGAGAAGTGTCCATTATGCTAATTATCAGTGGGTGCCACAAATTATCCAGGTACTGGACACGAAAGTTTCACACCAAAATGTTTTCAGTCAAACTGCCATTTTCCTCAGAAGCAATCTGAAAAGCAAAAAGAGGTTAAGCACCCAAATACCTTTGAAGACTTGAACTGAACTCTTAATTTGGGTATCTAACTCCTATTGATTGGGAGCTGATGACAAGACTTTAAAAACCTTTGAAGATGCTGTCTGCCATGCTTTTTAAGTTTCTTTGTCACGAAAAGAAATGACCTTAAAGATTTTCCATTTCTTTCCTTTAAATAATATTAATCCTTCTCTCTTTCAACCACTATCGTGGTTGGGATTCTTGGAAGACACTTTAAATAATACATGAACAGACTTTTGTATTTTCCAAGGGAAGGAAAACTTCTACGAAAGAAAAACAACCTCTTTTCTTTTTAAATGTAAATTCTACAGCTATTTAAGAGAGGGAAAAAACCCCAACATATTTTTTTCACTGACAGACTACTGCCTCCTTTGACCCAATGACACACAGATGGAAGTTTAAGCAGGGATGATCATTTCCCATGTTTTCTATAGTATTGTTGCTGCATTGGTGAGATGCCACCTGCCAAAACTTATGCAAAGTAAATAGTATGGATGTTTCACAATATTTTTATTATGCAAGATCACAGCAAATACAATAATGCATGTTAAAAGGATATATGCTGCAACACTAGTTCTTTCACCTAGATTTAACAGAGGAGCAAAATGGTATTCAAATTTATATAGCTACCTTGTAAAATTAGTTGTTAAAACTACTAAAACCAGCAGTCTACCTAATATCATATGTCTGCTATTTAAAAAAAAAGGTAAAGTCAGTTGAAGAGGTGAGAGAATTTAAAAATGCTTAATAGCACAGTTGTAAGCTGGTTTTCTATTTTTTAAACTACGTTAGAAATGCTTTTAGACATTTTGCATGCAACTGAAAATCTATGCTTGAAATAAAGTCAGGAGAGACTGCACTGCACCTTTGGAAAAAATGGATTAAGAAAAGTACTAAATGGCGATTGCATTATGACTACAGCCATGAAATCTGCAGTTAAAGTGTAAAAAGTAAATTCCTTAGAGCCAACATAGCAAGAAAGAGCAGACCTTTGATATCCTGCTGAGGAGGAGTCCTTACAGTGAATTAAGGCCCAAATCAGTAACATTTTGAAACATTCTGAGGGCTCTCTGCTCCCATCACTGTAATGACACTGGAGGATGCTCAGCAGCGAAACCCTGTACCAGTTGGACAATACCTCACAGAATTGTGCCTGAACAATTGAATCAAGAAAGCACTTCACTGATAACAAGTTCCCCCCAGGAAATTACTAGTTAAGGAGGGAAGGAGGGATATCAGCACAGGAATTTTGAGATGTGTGAGGAACTGGGAAGTGGTGGGGCGGGGGACTGATCACAGCCTGTGTTGAAAGGGGAATGTTGGGCTGGAGGAAAGTCAGAAGTTAAAGATCTTGTGGGTTGTCTCTGGGACAATTCTCAATTAAATTTGGGAATTAAGAGCTAGAACTGGGTTAATGACATTGGCTGATTACAAAGTAGGGAAGTTTAGTCAATACAGAAGATGATCAAAATACTATCTAGAAACTGGACCACCATTCGGGTTGGAGTAACAAAAACACAAAGATGTATACTCACAGACCAGAAATAGGCCTTTTCTCACTGAAGAGCTGTGGGGTTATCAGTCAGAAATGGGAGAAGAAAACGAAGGAAAATCTGACCATATTTGTTGACCTACAAATGGTTATAACCTACAAACGGTTATAACTAACGACTTATATGATTCTAACCATTTGATGTCACCCTGAATCAAACAAATTTATTATTACGATAAATTAGGAGAATTGTTTCCAGTAGAGGTAAGGAAACCTAATGCCATTGCTGACATGCCAGCGGTGAGCCTTCAGACAGACAACCCCAAAAAAGCCTAATGCTAACTGGGAATTGGAACAGAGAATGGCTGGCTACCAGCATGATGTGACAGGAGGCTGAAAGAGTGAGTATTATTTAGCATGGCAAAAACTAAAGCTGTGATTTTGTGACTTCTTTTTAAAAATATATTTGTGGCTAAATATCAGGGAGGAAAAGGAGCATGATGTTAAGGATGATAATCAAACAATTACTGGAATTTGAAACAACTTCCTTTTAGGAATAATGAGGTCCAGGAAACCTAGTGATTAAGACGAAATGTGATAAAATAATGGGATTATATCACACAGTCAATGTGACAGTAAATGCTCACAACCGGAAGGGACATTCAGGGTCTCAGATCCCTACATCAGAAATGAAAGATCATAAATAGGCCTCTATATAGGGTTGCTTTAAATGAGCTTTTCAGGAAATTGGAAGTGAGGTGCAAATGACCTCAAAGGAAAGAAATTTTTCTATGGGTAGCATAGAGGGAAACTGGTCATGTGGTTTGTGTTATCTCTCTCATCTTACAAAGCCTATGACCCCTTAAGAAGAAA